TCAGTTCTGTTCAGTCCCTCAGTCATGTCCAACTCTTTGCCACCCCGTGAATCATAGCACACCAGGCCTCCCTGTCCAGCACCAACACCCAGAACTTACTCAAACTCATGTCCATCGAGTCGGTGATGCCATCCAGACATCTCATCCTCTGTCGTCCCCTCTCCTCCTGCCCCCAATCCCTCCCAGCATCAGGGACTTTTCCAATGAGTCAACTCTTTGCATGAGGTGGCCAAATTACTGGAGTTTCAGCTTCAGTATCAGTCCTTCCAATGAACACCCAGGACTGATCTCCTTTAGGACAGATGGGTTGGATCTCCTTGCAGTCCAAAGGACTCTCAAGAGTCTTCTCCAACACCACAATTCAAAAGCATCAATTTTTCAGCGCCAGAGCTCAGCTTTTTTCACAGTCCAACTCTCACATCAATGCATGACCACTGGAAAAACCACAGACTTGACCAGATGGACATTTGTTGGCAATGTAACGTCTCTTCTTTAAAATATGCTATCTAGGTTGGTCATAACTTTCCTTCCGAGGAGTAAGCGCCTTTTAATTTCATGGCTGTAATCACCATCTGCAGTGATTTTGGAGCCCCCCAAAAAACAGTCTGACACTGTTTCCACTGTTCCCCCATCTACTTCCCATGAAGTGATGGGACTGGATGCCATGATGTTTGTTTTCTGAATGTTGAGTTTGAAGCCAACTTTTTCACTCTCCTCTTTCACTTTCATAGAGGTCTTTAGTTCCTCTTCACTTTCTGCCATAAGGATGGTGTCATCTGCATATCCGAGGTTATTGATATTTCTCCCAGCAATCTTGACTCCAGCTAGTGCTTCTTCCAGCTCAGGGTTTCTCATGATGTACTCTGCATATAAGTCAAATAAGCAGGGTGACAATATACATCCTGGTCAGGATGGTCATCATCAAAAACAAATTACAAACAGTAAATGCTGGATGGGTGTGGAGAAAAAGGAACCCTCATGCACTGTTGTGGGTTCCCTGATGGCTCAGATGGTAAAAAGTCTGCCTGCAGTGCACAAAACCCAGGTTTGATCCCTGCGTAGGGAAGATCCTCTGAAGAAGGGAATGGCAACCCACTCCAGTTGGTAAAAATGTTAACTGATGCAGCCACTGTGAAGAATGGTATGGAGGTTCCTTAAAAAACTGAAAATAGAGTTACTATATGATCCAGAAAGCACACCACTGGACATATTCCCTAAGAAATCAATAATGGTTTTTGCATCACAGGACTTGGATGCGGCCTAAATGTTCATCAGTTGATGAATGGATAAAGAAGACATGGTACATATATAAATGGAATACTCAGTTCAGTTCAGTCACTGTGGTGACTGACTCTTTGTGACCCCATTGATTGCATGCAGCATGCCACGATTCCCTGTCCATGAACTCTTGGAGCTTGTTCAAACTCATGTCCATAGAGTCAGTGATGCCATTCAACTTACTCATGCTCTGTTGTCCCCTTCTCCTCTTGCCTCAGTCTGTCCCAGCATCAACACCATGGACTGCAGCACACAAGGCTTCCCTGTCCATCAACTCTCAGAGCTTGCTCAAACTCAAACTCATGTCCATTGAGTCGGTGATGCCATCCAACCATCTCATCCTCTGTTGTTGCCTTCCCTTCTTGCTTTCAATCTTTCCAGCACCAGGGTCTTTTCCAGTGAGTCAGTTCTTTGTATCAGGTGGTCAAAGGATTGGAGTTTCAGCTTCAGCATCAGTCCTTCCAAGGAATATTCAGGACTGATTTCCTTTAGGATAGACTGGTTTGATCTCCTTGTAGTTCAAGTGACTCTCAAGGGTCTTCTCCAATACCACAGTTCAAAAGCATCAGTTCTTTGGTGCTCTGCTTTCTTTATCATCCAACTCTCACATCCATACATAACTGCTAGAAAAATCATAGCTTTGACTAGATGGACCTTAGTTGGCAAAGTAATGTCTCTGATTTTTAACATGCTGTCTAGGTTGGTCATAGCTTTTCTTCCAAGGAGCAAGCACCTTTCAATTTCATGGCTGCAGTCACCATCTGTAGTGATTTTGGAGCCCCCCAAAATTAAGTCCTTACTGTTTCCATATCTATTTGCTATGAAGTGATGGGACCAGATGCCATGATCTTCGTTTTTTGAAAGTTGAGTTTTAAACCAGATTTTTCACTCTCCTGTCTCACTTTCATCAAAAGGCTCTTTAGTTCCTTTTCACTTTCTGTCATAAGGGTGGTGTCATCTGTATATCTGAGGTCATTGATATTTCTAGCAGCAATTTTGATTCCAGCTTGTGCTTCATCCAGCATGACATTTCGCATGAAATATTCTGCATAGAAGTTAAATAAGCACTATACAGCCTTGACATACTCCTTTCCCAATTTGGAACCTGTCTGTTTTTCCATGTCTGGTTCTAACTGTTGCTTTTTGACCTACATACAGATATTACTCAGCTATAAAAATGATTGAAATTAGGTCATTAGCACATTGTTAACCAGCTATACTCCAATATACAAAAAAGGGTAAAATAAAGAATAGTTTGGTTAAGCACATATCCTTTTTCACAGCTTACTTGACTAGTAAGCTAAACATTAGAAAAAAGTTGCCTAGGTACAGTGACTTTGTAAACCTAAATAAACGTTGTAAACCTCAATGTTCTTCAAAGTTGGTGTCAAAACAAAGAAGTAATTTCAGATGTGAAAAAATATTTAAGGCTCTGAGTTTAATGAATTGTTTGAGTAAGAAGAGCGAGTAGCACACATGGAAAGGTGCCAAAACTCTACCTGGTAAGAATGCTTTAAGTTTCCCATCCTTCTGTACTACCCATGTTTTCAGAGCTACTATAATTTCATGCAGAATGTTCCACTACATTCTATAGGTCCTTTATCTTCAGTATCACATTAAACATGAGGTTAAATTAGGAAAGAAAAAGCACAAAGAATATAAAGGGGCAATGGAGTATAAGAATCTTCCTGGTTGCTCTGCTAGTTACGTCTGTGTCACCTCCCTGCTGGAGCAAGCGTGGTGGTAAGGCGATGATGGTGATGGTGGTGATGGAGACAATGATGATCTGCTGTCTTCCCAGTGCCATTTATGTGCCCCAACATGTACAAAATAAAGTACACACAATCATGTAATTTTTATGCCTCAGGTATTTTGCAGTGTAACACTGTTTTCACCATTTCAGTAAAGGGACTTTAATTCTGAGGAGTTAAATAACTTTTTACTCAAATTAGCCAAGCAGTAATTAACATGGAATTTAAATTATAGACCAATAATCTTTTTTTTAAAAAAAGCTTTCTTTCTTTTTTAAACAGTGTATTTATTTATTTATTAATTTATTTTGGCAGTGCTGGGTCTTCACTGGTACATGGGCTTTGCTCTTGTGGCCATGAGTCGGGCTGCTATCCAATTGTGGTGTGCGGACTTCACACTGAACTGACTTCTCTTGTTGTGGAGCACAGGCTCTAGGGTGCTTGGACTTCAGGAGTTGCAGCTTGTGGGCACAGGAGTTGCGGTTTCTGGGCTCTAGAGCACAGGCTCGATAGTTGTGTCACATGGGCTTAGTTGCTCCACGAAATGTGGGATCTTCCCGGAGTAGGAATCAAACCCATGTCTCCTGCATTGGCAGGTGGATTCTTTACCACTGACCCATCAGGGAAGATCAGAAAGGATCTCTGATATTACTCAAAATTCAGACAACACTGATTGTGGGAGCTAGAACTTTAGGATCAAAGAAGGATTAGCAATAAACCCAAATACAATATGCTATTGTTGTACGTGGTTTTAATAGAAAACAAACAAACAAACATTGTTACCATCACAAAAGAGAATTGTAGTTTATTCAGGAAGTGGAGAAGAAGTAACAATTGTCCAGTTGGTAGAAAGCCCTGCACAGGTGACAGACAGGCACAGAAGACAGGGAGAGAATCTTCTGATGGTGCCCCGGAGGAGAGCTGCTGCTCTTCCCTCTGAAGCACTGAGTTTTCTCAGCTGTCTTCCCAGAGGCAAGTGGTGTAGCTGCCTCAGGAAGGAAGCCTCTGGCTGTCAGGAGTCCCCACAGGCATACTGCAGGCTTAAGGATGGAGAAGCTTCTTCTATATCCATGATAGGCTTTGAAGAGAGATGAAGGTGGAGCTGTGGAGCTAGATGAGTCAGCTGCAAATATGGTGGTGAGGGTAACAGGGGTGGTGATGGTGGTGATGATGGAGACAATGATGACCTGTTGTCTTCCAAGTGCTATTTATGTGTCTGCAATGCGCCAACTAAATTATACACATTCCTTGAATATGGATTCCTTAGAAGTTTGAAATGAAAATACAATTTTCCCTTTCTCTTTACTAAAGAGAATGAAAACCTGGAGAGGTAAATATTTTGATCCTCAAACCATCAAGTGATAAATAAGGAAATAACATGGAATTGAAATTATGTAGAAGTATTCTTTGTTAAGACTCAAAATTTAGACAGCGCTGATTGTGAGAGCTTGATCCCTGTCATCAAAGGATAAAAACAAAACCAGATGGTGATACGGTATTACTAAAAGCAGTTTTAAAAGAAAGAAAACATTTTTGCCATCACACAAAGGAACTGTAGTTTATTGGTGAGGAGGAGGATAAGCAACAGTTGGCCAGCTGGTAGAAACCCCTGCCCAGGTGACAGACAGACCCAAGGGAGGGAGAGAATCCTCTGATGGTGCCCGGGAGAAAAGCTGCTGCTCTTCCATCTGAAGCTCCGTGGTGCTTTCCCAGCTGTCCTCCCAGAGGAGAGCAGAACAGCAGCCTCAGGAAGGAAACCTCTGGCTGTCAGGTATCACCACAGGCATAGTGCAGGCTGAAGGATGGAGAAGCTTCTTCTATATCCATGATAGGCTTTAAAGGGAAGATGAAGGTGGAGCTGTGGAGCCAGGTGAGTCAGCTGTCCTCATCCTTTCCTGATGCAAATGCAAGCTGATGCTTCTACTTGCTTTTGGGTGGGCACTTCTGCTGGCATTGTTGGGGAGGTGGCACAGGAGGGCATTTCTGCTGGCACTTTGGAGGTGGGCATGGCTCAGGGCACTTGGGAGGTGGGCAAGGCTCAGGGCACTTTGGAGGTGGGCAAGGCTCAGGGCACTTGGGAGGGCACACTACTGGAGGTGGCTGGCAGGGCTGCTTGCATTGCTGCTGCTGATAAGACATCTTTCTGGAGTCTCAGAATCTGAAAGAAATTACATGACAGTGTTCACAAGAAGGAACTGCTACAAGGAGAAAAGTCTGAGTTTGTTTAATAGCATAGGATAGAATCTCTGAAGTCCCTAAGAATGTGGTTTGATCTCTTTAATCCCGTTCAATGAAATTCTGGCCTCTCTCTCCCTCTTTAACAAATTGTGTTATTGGCTCAGAGAAAATCTTTTTACATACAACTTTTCAAAAATCCAATCAATGTTGTTCTGTTTTTCTTTTTTTTTCTGAAAACAGCATCTTCAATAAAGGCCATCATATTCCAAAATCCTAGGTAAGCTCACAAGCAATTTTCATCATCATTATCTATCATGAGGTCCCAGAAGTATCACTTGTGTACAGAGCAAAAGACCACCAGGAAGGATACAAAGGCCCCACTCCCTCTAAGATAAATGACTCTTCAATAACAGCAGAAGGACACAAGAAAGATACAGAAAAAGGAAAAATACTTCTACTTGGCTTCTTCTTGTCACAGATTTTTTTTTAAATCTCTTCAGGAAAGGAATTCAAACTCTGTAACAGGAATTTAATAAATACTGTAAAACACTGTGTTCAAATTCCAAACTCCCATCCACTAAGGAGTATTAAAGTCATGACAATAACTTTGGACACAGAAAATTTGCTATAGCCAGAATTAATTCACAAGTAGAGAGCCCAAGAATAGAGCTGAACTGAAGAATCAGACTCACCAGGTTCTCCAAAACCTATCCGGGACTTGAGTAGCAGGAGGATGGCAGTGATACAGCAGAGGGCCTCTTTATAGGGACTTGCTGCCCCACCCAGGAGGAAGCAGAGCTGCCACACAGGCCTGGTTCAGTCATTTCCCAACCAAAATGAAAATCCATCCATAAGTGGCCTGATGGGGACTCCAGAAAGAGGAAATGTCCTGCTCCAGGATCTCCTCCCTGGATTATCTTCCCATGACGCACAGCATCCTTGTCTTAAGCTCTCTGTTTCAGGGGTTTATGGCAGTGGGAGGATTTGGGAGCTTCTTTAACTGGGAGTCAAAGCCTCCCTTTCTTGATTGGAGAAGATTCCTCTTTGATATCTTTCACCTTCTATGAATTATGAAAGTGCCTGTCGAGTTCCACTTGAAGTGGTTGCATTTTATTGAACATACTGGGCTGAAAAGAGCGTGGCTATCTAGTGACACCTTTTTCTTTACCTCAAGTCCTTCTTATAATGCTTTTCCCTTTGATCCATGACCTGCTAATCTAAGTTTCCTTTCTTTTTCTAAACTGGACCGAGGTCAGGTTGCACATCATCTCTCCAGCCTTCCCATCATAATACTTAGACATGTTCAGTCAAGTGGTGCCCTCTAGGATCCTCCTTTCACTGCTTTTCTCCCTCAGATAAAAGACAAAGCTCATTCTTGCAGCCTTTAGAAATCTGTTTCACTTTGGGTCACAGGGAATTCACTAGTTTAGCATCATCTACTGTAATTCAGGTGTTGCTGCAGCCCAGACTCTAGACCAACAACAGAAAGCAAGCTTTTTGCACATAACTCCCCCACATGACATACCACCTACTTCTACATAATTTCTCCCAACTGTCCTCTTTGTACTACTTCACTCTATGAAGGAAGCTCAGAGCATAGTCCGAATTTTCTAAAGTCCTTCCCCTTTGAAATATCGAAAGGCCCAATCTGGGAAGTAATGCCATAAAACAACTATTTTTTAATGAAAGTTGAAGAAATCATTATGAGCCATTCAATCATTGAAGTTAATTGCCATTCATATACAACTTCTCAATCATTAATAAGAATTTCACTGTAATTTAAACCAATTTTTCAGATTTACCATACTGGTTACAGGGAATATATGTTAAGTAAACCTCTTTCCTGGTCACTTCCTTCATATACTTTGTCAGTGTTCTAGAAGGAAGCATGGTTAATTTATGAGTCATCTTGACTGGCACAGGGTGCCCAGATATTTGGTCAAATTCCATGTGTTTCTCTAAGGATTTTGTTTTAATGAGAAGGGCTTCCCTGGTGGCTCACTGGTGAAGTATCTGCCTAACAAGCAGGAGATGCCAGTTTGATCACTGGATCAGGAAAATCCTCTGGATAAGGAAATGGAAATCCACTGAAGTAGTCTTGTCTGGAGAATCCCACAGAGAGAGGGCTACATTTCATGGGGTCACAAAGAGTCGGACACAGCTTAGCGACAGACTTTTACTTTTTAATATATAAGTCAGTGGTCTGGGTCAAGGAGATGCCTTCTGTAAGGTGTGTAGTCCTTCATCCATTGAAGGCCTGAATAGAGCAAAAGTCTAAGTCTTTCTTGGGTAAGAGATAATCCTCTTGCCTGATGGCCTTCCACAGGTTTTCAGTTCCACAAATTTTGAATTTGCCATCGTTTGCAATCTCTCATCCTCTCTCTTTCCTGTTTCTCCCTGTGTCTGTCATTCTCTCATATAAAAAATTATATAATATGTATTATATTATAATTTGAAAATTTAATCTGCCATTTCATGTACATCATTTCCTATGTTCAATCAAGTTAAAAATTCAAGAAGATTGGGTAAAGTGATTAAAGTAAAAATGTAAATATTACATAATACATGTGAAGTGTAAATATGACCAATATAATAAATTTTTAGAGGATAACTGAAGTTCAAGAGAGAATGCCCTAGCATGTTCTCCAGCCTTGGCAAAATATTTCATTATGCCTTGTCAGAGATTTAGCTCTCAATAATTCTTCTACAGTTCCTCTGTTCAGGCCTGGAGCTGAACTATCCTCTTTTCTGTACTATCCTCTTGGGCACTGAAAATTTTCATAATAGGCTGTGGCTGGTGAGGAATCATGTCTGGTTTAGGAGTAAAGTTACAATGCTGGCTTTATATTACTATAGAATGTGGGAACACAGCTAATGGAATCAGGATGTCCCCTTTCAGCATAACCCTACAATACCCTAGAATGCTGTCTCGTGCTGAGGATTACTTTACCAGGAAATACATCATTTTTATTCCAATAGTAAATATCAGGTTTAAATTGCATAAAAACAGAAATGAATGTAATATACTATTTAAGACTCACACCGCCACATACAAGGGATTGAGAGTAGGTTTTGGAAGGGAATGAGGATCAGAGAACCAAACATCTGAAATAGTTAAATACAAGCTTAGGGTATATCTGATGAGTTTGTTTTCTTCTACTCCATCCCAACATGGTTTATATCTTTAAAAGAGTGTGGTTTTGGAAAATCCCATGGACAGAGGAGCTAGGTGAGTACAGTCCACAGGGTCGCAAAGAGTCAGGCATGACTGAGCAAGTACACACTTTCTTTCTTTAAATGTTTTTAATGTTTATTCTCTAACTTCTCCTTCAACCATTCAGACCTCTCATCCTGCCATATTACTCTTCACTTCCTAATGTATTAATATATATCTTAACTGTCCAATTTAATACACTGAGGTGTTGGCAAAGCATTTAGTAATAGTCCTTTCATATCTTTCTTATTTCTTCCTGCAATCAGTGGAATAATTGACCTACTAACTTGTCTTGGTCAAATAATCAGGAAGCTTTTCAAGAATGTAGTTTTATAAATAGGAAGGGAGGAAGAGGAGAAGAATGAAGAGGAAGAGAAATAGGAAACACTTGAAAGCTCTGTAACAGTCAGCGGGTATGCATGTTCCAGAAGTCAGGACGTAATATTTTCCTTTAGCTCAGCAGCATCTCCACTGACTACCATATATTTTTTAAATATTATAATAAAGAGGAGAAGTCAAGTTGGTAGAATAGGAGGATGTTAAACTCGTCCTTCCTCACATATATATTTCAAGTATACATCTCCAAACTTAATAATTCTCAACAGAAAACTTGGTGAATATTACTGGAAGTCTTTGGAAACCTAAAAGGACAAGAAAAATACACTCATAATTAGGCAAAATGGCAAAAGTAAAACAGAAAGAGGAATCAAAACAGGGACCAGCAACCCTGACAAGAAGCTGAAGATGGAGGGGAAAAGCCCATCACAGTGGGGGAATCAGCTGGGACAGAAATGGGCCTTCAGGGGATCAAAGCAGAGGATGGTCTGTGAAAGGCAAGACTAAGAGCTGCATGCATGGTCTGTGCCACAGCCCTGCTCATCCTAGCCTGAATCATGTGTCTCCTGTTGCAGAGTGGGGCTGGGTGCTGTAACACGGGGTTTGGAGTGAAGATTCAGGGAGGGAACAGTTGTTGACTGTGAAAAGACAGCCTGGAGGGGCAGGAGTAAGGAGTTCTACAGCTGGGAAAGTTTGCAGATAAAGCCTGGGACACCACAGAAGCTAGGTGTCCTTGTTGAGTGGCATGTAAGGGGCAGGGCTGCCATCATAACCACTTTCCCACCTGCCAACTTCCTTGGCCTTCACAGGCAATTGAAGGGGCTCCCCTTGAGTCATCCTGACCATTCCTCAAGCCAAGGCCTCTTCTACACAAGTAGGCTCAGTGGTCCTGAGGACTGCCCCTCTTAAAGCCAGATTCAGAATTAGCTCTGAGAGCCTTTGCGCTGGCAGGGGCTGAATGCTAAAGTGTCGGGTTAAGAGAGTGGATCCTGGGAGAGGATCGCTGTTGGCTTCACAGATAAAACAGAGAGGACAGGAGCTAGGGGATCTGAGGCTGGGAATGCCAACTGGAGGAAGTGTGTTCTGCCCAGGAAACGTGGCTCCATTGTTAAGTAGCATGCAAAGGCTAGGGTCATTACAGTCCCCACACCACATACCAGCCCCTGCCTTTCTGGGCACTGGGAGGGAATCCCACCAGGGCAAGTGTGGCCCCATCTGTTGCAACTGCCTGTTGGCCTACATCACCACAGGCAATTTGTGCACACTCAATTGTTGCAGCTGGTCTGAGTAAGTAAGTGTGTGCCACTCAGCCACTATTTTCACTCTCTCTCATCTGGGTGGGGAACAGATGTCTGAGGTGGCATGCACACACACACACACACACACACACACACACACACACAAGTGGGGC